TTTTCCGGAACTTGCTCTGTAGACCAACCTGGCCTTGAACTCAGAGATGCATCTGTCTGCCTCCCGAGGGCTGAGATCAAAGGTATATGCCACCATTACCCAGCTAAACTGATTTCTTTAAACATAATTTTTTACTCATTCTTCAGGAATTTCACATTAGCACCCCAATCCCACTCATTTACCAGTCCCCCTATATATGCCCTTCACCCTTGTAGTGTCCCCTGCCCCAAGGAAAATTCAAAAAGAAACAAAAATAAGAATACTAAATAAAACCAAACAAACCAATCCTCCATCTTTCCCACCTCTCCATCACCTCTTCATCTTACTGGCACTGGGAGCTGTGCTGTGTCACCCAGTGTACTCTTGTCCACACAACTTTACTTGAAATGTTCATTGTTTAATGTGTTGTTGGTCTGGTTCAAGGTCTCCTGCTTCTGCTACACCACCAATATTGGACCCTTCACCAAAACTCCTCTCAGAGATCCTGCAGTTGATTGCAGTTAACACTCTCCAGCAGGTCACAGATGGGGTAGATGTTGGAGAGTGCCAACTCAAAGTTCTGGATGTGTGCCAGGGGTAGCTGAATTCGTCAGTCCAGGCTGTTGGACCATGTTCCTCAGAAATGCGACTGTTCAGCAGTCTGGTTCACCATAGCTGCATCAGAGGTGAATGTGTTAGGGAACAGGTTGCGTTGGGAGGCTGACATCTGGCCAAGGCTGCGGTGCGCCACCACTGCTCAGCTGCTTTCCTGTTTCTTTACCTGCCTTTTAATATACTGCTGCCAACAAGCAGACTTTCAGAGCGTGAAACTGGGTGTGGTGGCACTGCAGGCCTGTAATCTCAGCATCCACTCTAACGTCACAGCAAATCCAAGACCATCCTGGGCTACCAGAAACCCTGTCTCAAAACTTTACAACGACAACTTTGGGTACCAGAACTCATTTCCAATTGCGTTTCCTGTCCCTACTGGACTAACTTTGTAAAGTATGCATTTGCCTTAGTAGTTTATTGGTCAGTAACTGACAGGACAGCTTTTCTTTCTTTCTTTCTTTCTTTCTTTCTTTTTTCTTTTTTTTTTTTTTTTTTTTTGCTTTTTCGAGACAGGGTTTCTCTGTGGCTTTGGAGCTTGTCCTGGAACTAGCTCTTGTAGACCTCGAACTCACAGCAATCTGCCTGCCTCTGCCTCCCAAATGCTGGGATTAAAGGCGTGCACCACCACCGCCCGGCAAGGACAGCTTTTCTTTGAGCTATGAATTCCTTCCAGCCTTAAGAGCTGTTTTCAAATAACACCTATAACACTCTAGTAATGAACTTTATGTTGCTCCTTAGCTTTCACACACAGGCAGACCCGTTGGTTTCCATAGCTACCTCTAGGAGACCATTTATTTTGAAAGTTGAAGAAAAGTAAGGAATGATTAACTTGAAATACTTGAATTTTCTTAAAACTGTCAGAAGCCTTGATTGATTAATTCTAGGTCTAAGAAACTCCTGAAAGCTTGTGGCAAGAGTTCATGTATGAAAAACCAACAGACACAAGTACTTGCTCATGTGGGCTTTTTATATACTGTGTGAAGATGTACTGCTGTGATTGGTGTAATAAAGAGCTGAATAGCCAATAGCTAGGCAGGAGAGAATAGGCAGGACTTCCAGGCAGAGGGGAACTGAAGAACCTGAAGCAGGCAGGGGATGCCAGTGAGATACTAAGGAAGTAAGATATACATTGCAGAAGAAAGGTAAAAACCCATATGGGGAAAAGTAGATTAATAGAAACTGGTTAATTTATAAGAGCTAGTCAGGAACAAGCCTATGGTAAAGGCCAAGCTTTCATAATTAATAAGTCTCCATGCCATTTGAGAACTGGTGGTTACCAAGAGAAGGTTGGACAAGAAATTCTTGCTAAGTTACCTTTTGTCAACAGGACACAACCAGTAATTTAGGGAGTGGGGACCCAAACTGAACAACCAACTCCAGAGTGGCCAGTGGGCAGGTCTGTGGAATGTTTTCTTGACTAATTGTTTATGTAGGAAGGTGATGCCAACCCTGAAGAGGTAGGTGGTCCTGGGTTGTATAAAAACCCAAGCCAGAAGCTGAAGAGCTCAGTGACTAAGTGCTTATTCTTGCTACAGGGCCCCATTTCCAGAACCCTCACGATGGCTCATAATCGTTAAGTCCAGTTCAAGGGACTCGGACACCACCTTCTGACCTCTGTGGGCAGAGACACACACAGGTGCACACACATGTGCAGGCAAAATCTTCACACATAAAAATACAATACTTTAATAAAGTAAACTGAGCAAGCCACTGAGAGCATGCCAGTGATCAGGTCTCCTACTTAGTCTCTGGTTCAGTTTTAGTCTGACCAAATCCTCCCCAAGCTGTTTTTCAGTCGAAACATTTTTTAACACCAGCAATAGAAACCAATTATGGATAGATGGGCACAGACATATACACACAGTAAATAAATGTTAAAAAAAAAAAAACCAAACCAGTATATTGGCAAAAGAGCAAGGTCCCAGCTTTTTGGCAGGCAGAGGCAGGAAGACAAATCATTTAATCTCCAAGGTTTGAAGCCAATTTGAAATAACCCAGAAAAACTTCATCTAAACAAATAGAAGGGCTGAGGATATGTAGCTCTGTGAAAATGCTCTACTGTGAGGAGGGTCAAGTTAAAACCCAGCGCGCGCGCGCACGCACACACACGCACGCACGCACACACCAGGATTTGAATATATATTGCTCTGAAAAACATACATAAATGACTGGTAAATACATGAAAAATGTTCAACATAAGCCATCGGGGAAATGAAAAATAAAACTACAATGAGGTACTAGTTAAGACTGCTTTTTTTGTTTTTCAGGACAGGGCTTTTCTGTGTATCTTTGGCTGTCCTGGAACTCTGTAGACCAGGCTGGCCTCAAACTCACAGAGATCCACCTGCCTCTTAAGTAATGGGATTAAAGTCATGCACCACCAAGTACAGCAAGATTACTTATTTTTTTATGGGCTGGAGAGATGGCTCAGCAGTTAAGGGCACTCACTGGCTGCTTTTGCAGAGGACCTGAGTTCTATAACATGTCAGCTCACACCTGTCTTCAATTCCTTCTAGGGGATCCACACCTCTGCCGACACCATGCATGGAAAAGGGCAAAACAAAAACATACACAAAATCTAATTTTTAAAAATGTTAATTTTGGGTTTCCACATTGTTCTTTTTGCCTTTAAACTGGGTTGTTGAAGGCGTTTATTTCCTAGGGATAGGGTCTAATGTACCCTAGGCTGGCCTTTCTATGTAAATGCTGACTTAGTCTCTGGCACTTCTTTCTCTGCCACCCTAAGCTTCGAATCACAGGCATGCATCGCCACTCTGGTACCACGCAAGTTTTACACTATGCTGGGAAGCACTCTACTAGTTACAGCTGCATTTCTAGTCAAGGTTGACTTTACAGCTCCAAATGTAAACTACTCTTTTCCAATAATCATGCTCAGAAGATTGGTATAAAAGATATGCATACAAAGCTGGGAGGATGGTGGCACAGACCTTTAATCCCCAACACTCAAAGACAGGAGACAGAGGCAGGCAGATCTCTGTGAATTCAAGGATTTCCAGAATCTTTGTGAATTACAAAGATTTCCAGAACAGCTTCCTAGAGAGAGCCTATTAAAGAGACAGAGAAAGGGTAGTTATACATACAGAAATGCAAATATGTTTAAGTTGAAGTGTTCAAGAAAAATAATGTCCTCATAAGGTTGAAATGATTAAAATTATACAATACATATTATAAAGTGATGAAAAACAAAAAAAATTAAATATAAAGGGATAAAGAAGGGCTGAATATAAGAGCCACAAGTTATTGAAGAGTATTCCTTGGTTTTGTGAATAAGTACATAAATATATTCAACACTGTAAGTGTAAAGTTTACTGTGAAACTCCACAGCTTCCATTCTGAATGTCGATTCTAATATTCTACATAATATTCAGAGCTGTATTAACTTTGAGTCTGCTTAATTTTGGTATTTTTATTTATTTGAAAGTTTATAAAATAAAATCAAAATAACTTAAAGAAAAACTAACCAAAATTGTGTGGCACTGGCAGAAGACATATAAACAAATGAATCTCAAAGTTCAAAATGAATCTCTTACAAGTATGGGCAACCGATTTTGCACAAAAGTTCCAAAACAATTCACTGAAGAACTTATTATTCTATAGTTAAGAAAACTAGATGTCTACATGAAATAAATGAAGGCTGGGCCCAGACCTTCTGCCATATACTAAATTCAAAGTGAGAGCCACACATGGTGGCACATGCCTGTAATACTCAAGAGGCCAGAGTCAGGAAGGTGGGCACAAGCTTGAGATACCTAAGGCGACAAGCAAGCTCCAGGACAGCCAGAGCTACCAAAACCCCTTCTCAAAAAAACAAGGCTGGCAAGATGGTTCTACAGGTAATGGCACTTGCTGCCAAGCTTGATGACCCAAGCCTGACCCAAAAACACACATGGTAGAGGAAACTGACTTAAGAGAAGTGTTGTGAATTCTGTGGCTGAGGCACACAAGTAGGACACAGACATAAGTACAGGATAATGCACACATAATTTCTAGAAAGAAGAAAATAACACGCTGTGGAATAGTGTGAAAACTGGGACCTTATTCATTATCAGCAGGGATGCAAAACGGTGTGGGGAGCCACTATCAAAGAGTTACAGTATGATCTAATAATGCCCTTCCTATTTGTACCCAAAATAGAAATCAGGAGCTTAAGTGTTTCATAACGTTCATTTCAGTATTAGAATAGTAAAACATGTCCATCAACCTACTAAAAATAAGTGAATACGCAAAATGTGTATACATATGCCATCCAGTACCAAAAATTCAAATTGGTATATCCTCATAATATGAAGGATTCTGAAAACACTTCAAATTATATTTCTATGATGTACATAAAACAGTCAAATTCTAAAAACAAACAAATAAACAAACCAAACCCTGGAACAGAAGTGATCAAGAGATGGGCAGAGGAGTTTATAAGTATTATTTGTATGCACAGTTTGTTTGGGAAGAGAAAAAGTATTGGAAATACAAGTTAATTCTAATTTAACAGTGTAAATGTACACAACAGTGTAACTGTACATACGACCACTGAACTCCAACCCACTCCCAAGAAGAAAAAAGGTTAAAACGAGTAATGTCTGCACTTATCGCCCCAGCAGGAGACTAATTAGAGGCCTGGAGTTCAAGGACAGCTGAGCAACACACCATTTGGTTCCTAATCCTGCCCAACTAGTGACATCTGTAGACTTGGTTATGTCCGTGATTACTGGAGTGAGCTGCAAAATCCTGTGAAACCAAGGTTGGTAATCACAGCCAACAGTATTTCTTCTCCCAAATCTAGACTCCACCCCCCACGCAACAAGCATGCATACACACACACTGCATTCACAATGCACTCAATGTTCTACCATTACCTATGTATTTGACAAAGGAGTACACATGTACTAACTTCACTAAATGATGCAAAGTTTATATGTGCTTCCACACTGACAGATAAACACATATATTCACTAAGCACAAACTCCATCACAAATAACTTCCTGTTTAAAGATAAAATTTCAATTAATAACCACATTGAGAATTTATTTAATACAACCACTAATCTAATATGTTAACAACAAAATCTAAGCAATTACATCACAAAACAAGGGTTATATCCAGCAAACATGCATAATAATCTATACAACTTAACATTACCCCAGAAAAGGAATTGGATATAAAAGTTCTTATAATTTTGGTGGTTTTCAAATCTTATGGCACAGATTACCAAAAAAAAAAAAACTATAAAAACAGATTTCAAATTTTTTCAGTAAAATGGTAAAAAATTGAGTAAGCCTTTAAGTTTTCATACTTGGCTCAAGTTAAAACATCAAGCTGGCCCCAATCTGTCAAAACAGACAGATAAATATTTATAATGACTGGACAGACTTAGTTACAATGGTAGTTGGAGGTCTACTTCCTCCTATCAAAACCCTTTTGTAAGGGTTAAATTTTTCAATGCAAACATGTCTCTTGTAAATACTGTGAGAATATAAACTTGGAGACACATAGAGAATCAGGACAGAAGTGAAAAATAAGACTTAAGTCAATATTATTTCTGACTGGTTAGCATAAAGCCTTGTGGCTCCCAAACTATCAACACTGTCTCAATACAAAACTAAGAATATGAGAATGACTACCAACTGGCTGACGTTCTACAGAACTGTCTCAGTATGGAAGCAATGATCACGCTCCGTTAGCCTGCTTCTACAGAGTGTAATCAGCAGAGCCCTAAGTTTATAAACACATGGCAGCTCAAAACAAAAAACTCTTCAAACAGAAGCAACCTTTCTCCTTTCTGTTTCATTTTTAGCTCTATATGTCATGTTATTCTTGAAGTAATAAGAAAAGAATCAGAGGTCGCTTTGAACATATCTTGTACTTTTCATCAAGGCTAAAGTGCAAAATATCTCCATATCTCTGGTATTTTAATAGGGAAAAGCATCAAACATTTATAATAAAAAAGACTGAATAGTAAAACTAATATAAAAGAAAAGAACTCTTAAATGTACAATGGAGGAATACATTTTATGGCCAATTTAAACTTTTCTTTCTTCAGTGAAATCTGTAAAAGAACCATATTCTCAAAGAACTCTGTTGATTCTCTTCCCATGACCAGAAATTCTAAACTTATAGGAAAACACATAAGGGGGGGGACAAAAAACAAAACATCGCGTGACAATGGACACCAAGTTCATAAAGAACTTTTTAAAAATGAGATACTATATAAGAAAATACCATGAAAATAATAATCCTATGAGAATTGTTTAAGCACAGTAAATTTGAGCCTCGGTCTTCGTGAAGATACTAGTTTATATAGAAAACTATAAATATACAAGACTCCAAGGGAAAAAGTCAGAATACATATTGTCTAACATTCTTTAGGCTACAAAACTTTTGAAAGGAAGAAGGATGGCTGATGGCCAACTGAATCTTAAGCCAGGTGTGGTAATCACGCCTATAATCCCAGTATTTGGGCAGGAGTATCACTCCAAATTCAAGGCCACCCTGGAACTCATCAAGTTCCAGGCTAGCCAGGGCTAATGAGACCTTGTCTCAAAAGATCAAAAACTGGAAGGGGGGGAAGGAAAAGAATAAAGACCTACAAAAAAACTCCTAGGTTAAAGTGTCCTCCTGATAGGAACCAAACGTTCTGTGGAATATAACTTATTTATACTATTAAGGGGCAGGGAGACTGAATTACTAGAGTCTTAAATAAGGGAAAATGAACCTCATAGTGTAAACAAGTCTGGCTCAGAAGAAAAACTGAACATATCCCAGATCTGTCCGTGAAAGTAATGATGGTGCATCTTTATATTAAAGAAATAGGCTATAAAAAGTTCAGTCTCAGAATTGATTTTTAAAAGCTTATTTGTGCTCCTTGGTGGGTGCATAATAAAGTTCCATGGGTTTGTTCACCTTCCAGTATTTCTCACTGACCAATTCCAAAGAAAAGGAGCCATTTAATACCTGAAACAAAGAGAAAGGCACAGTTATGAAAATGCATGGTGCTCAGGAATAGTGAGACTAAACTGACAAAGACCAAGAATCTTGTCTGCAACAGAACCAAGGGCATCACAAGGCCCTTGGTCAGTCTCAGATCTTCTCTAACAAGTCCCGCACCACTACTTGCCACTGACAAGGAGCTCACACTGTCAACAGCCATGATACAAATACTCACAGTGAACTGGCCACTGGCTGTCGCTATGTAAATGGTGTACTGCTTCTCACTGGCCGTATCGAGGTTCATCTGGTTTGATTCTCCTTTGCTTCTAAGTTCTTCCAAAGCTAACCTCACAGCCAGATATTTGGATAAATGATCAACAGTAGCATTGCCTGAAGTCTTTATGTATCTAAAAGAACAAAGCATTGAACATTTCATTTTTAGAGTACATTTAAAAATTCCTAAATTATAGAGCTATAAAGCTATGAAAAACATGTATGTCCCAACCGTTGAAAATTATTAAAAATTTACTTCTCTATAAGAAGCAAAGACAAACCATGAAGGCTCACCACCTTTACCTTCGTTAATAGATGTCACAAAACAATTTTAAAAAAACAAATATACAGTGTACAAATTTTAAAAAAACAACAACAAAAAACAGCACACCTTTCCACCTCAATTACTAGAATCTATTGACCACAGCAAGAGACACACTAAGAATAAGAGCAAATTGTCTTCAGAATTGGCATTCCTGGTTTTGAAGACTGAAGCACAACAAGGAAGGGTTGATCTTGAGATCATTCATTCATTCATTTCTCAAGACCGGTTTCTCTGTGTAGCTCTCTGGCTGTCCTGGAATTCATTCTGTAGACCAGATTGGTCTGTCTCATGACTGTTGAAATTAAAGGCATGTGCCACCACCCCCTTGCCAATCTTGGGATTTTAAATGCATGATACACAATTCAATTACTCATTCAACAAATATTTGATGCTTATTTGCACTCGCTGGCAGGCACTATGTGATTGGTGTGGAAATTCAACCTTGCCACTGTGAAATTCAGAGCCTATTCTGGATTGCTTTTTTCTTCATCACCTACGAGGGCTGATTCTTTGTGAAGTGCTTCTTGTCTTGGGAAGAAAACAAAGAAAAGAGAAAAAGGAAAAGGAAAGGAAGGGAAGAAGGGGAAGGGAGAGGAGGAAGAGAAAGCAAACAAGCAATGTAGGTAGCAGTACATTCAAACTGAACCCTAAAACTAGGATGCCAAATGCTGATTTTATTCAAATACAAACTTTCCAATTAAATTCCACATTAAACATTCTGAAACCAAGTAATCTGAAACAAATTCACACATTACCTTGTCTGTGCACTGTCGTCCTTTTCCATAAGTGTTGGGTGGGGCCTGAATACTAGTTCGATTTCACTAGCACCGTCCATTACTGGATCAATGGCCACTGCTGCATTGTTATTATCAAGTTCAAGCCCAGAGTCATCAGATGTTTTGGTCCGTTTGTTACTAGGTCCTGCTTCCTGATTGCTATGTGTGGATGCATTACTACAGTGTGAACTGTCACCATTATCTTCAGCTCCACTGCCATTTTCAATCTGTTGCTTCTTGCCTCGCTGTAATCTAATTAAGAAGGAGGAAAAAAGGGTCTTTAAAGTTTTATAATGAACATTAGAATTTTGTTTGTTTGCTTTTTAGCCTTTATTTTTATTTTATATGTATAAACGTTTGGCCTACATGTGTCTGCACACCATGTGTGTGTGTTGCCTGCAGAGGCCAAAAGAGGGTGTTGGATCCCCTGGGACTGAAGCTACAGAAGGTTGTGAGCTGCCATGTACTAGGAACTAAACCCAGTCCTTTGGAAGAGCCATCTCTCCAGGCCTGAACTTCTGAATTCTAAAATTCAAAAAAGTACAAGGGGGGCTGGAGAGATGGCTCAGTGGTTAAGAGCATTGCCTGCTCTTCCAAAGGTACTGAGTTCAATTCCCAGCAACCACATGGTGGTTCACAACCATCTGTAATGAAGTCTAGTGCCCTCTTCTGGCCTGCAGACATACACACTGACAGAATATTGTATACATAATAAATAAATATTTTTTAAAAAAAAAGTACAAGGGATAAAATTTGACTAATGAATTTGGTGAAAAATCTTGTCATTGTTTTCCACATGTCCCTCAAAGATATAGAAAGCTCACCATGAACACATATAAAAGATTTAAACACACTAGGCACAGCTGTGCACACCTTTAATCCCAGCACCCTGGAGGCATAGGCCACAGACTATACAAGTATTTTTTTTAACCAAAGATAAGTGTGTTTCTCATGAGACTAAAGTGAGTAACTATTGAGTCTTTCCAACTCAGAATTGTGTTGTGCTCTAAGCACAAGCTACTGTACTGAAAGTTGAACAATAAACAATGGCAACAACTCTACTTGTGAGAATTAGAGAAATGAAACTTTATTAACTTTGAAGGAATAGTTAATGACAACAACAAAAAAAAGGAAAAATAAGCAGACTCTCCTGAAATCCTAAGAAAACTATTAAAAGAGGAAAGAGAAATAGATTGTACTAACTGCTGCTAGGTACAATGAAGTCTTCAATTCTATCAACCACCATACTGCACAATAAACACAAAGGTCACTACTAATTTTCACAAGGACATTACAACAGGGTAAGAATGAGCAGCTCACTAAAAGAGACTCAAACCAGAGATATATACAGACAATCCCCTGATGTATTCACTCTTTGCAGAAGAGATGTTTTATATTTACTATTATTGGGGAGGGGGTGGGGTGTGAGCACAAGGGTTCAACAAGTATATAAGTCAAAGGACAACGTTTGGAAGTTGTTTCTCTCCTTTCACTGTGGGTTCTTTCTATTATTTTAGATGCAACACCCTGGAAGTGTGTGTCACCCTTTAAGAAAAGATGGCACACAGAACAGCTACTCACTACTGTGTTCAACTTACAGAAAAGGTAAAGTCAGGATTCATTAAGTATTTGGACATGTCCCACCTCTCCTCCTCTTCCGCGTACCTGTTCATGGCCTGTATCTTCAGCCCTTCCTCAATGCTGTGGCTGAGTGCCTGCTGGTTGTTGTGCTTGTTGATCCTGGCTAACACTCTCTCTTGATGAGCTTCATACTCATCACGACTTGGATAAATTTTGCTGATGAGTGCATCAAAATTTGGGTCTGGCCTTAGTGATCTTTTAGAAACTAATTTTTTCCGACAGGTAGGGCATTCTTTGTTGCTAAATTAAAAGAAAAGAAAGAAAATGTAAATATGACCGCTGGGCTAAAAACAAAAATATCCAATTTCTAAAGTTATCTTTACTAACACAAAAATGTAAATAGTTAGCTGAACTCTCTGTGAAAATTAAATAAAACATGTTAATCAGGATTTCAAAAGCCTTAGCTGATATACTTGTGGGGGAGGGGCTGAGGGCAGGGTACTGGGGCTCACTCATGCAAGCTCAGCATTTGAGAGGCTGAAGCAGGAAATTGCATAGGAACCCAAGGCAAATCTGAACCACATGGCAAGTTCCAGACTAGCCTAGGTACAATGTATTTAAAAAAAAAAAAAAAAACTATCTTAAAACAAAGAAATAAACCGGGAGGTGGTAGCATACGCTTTTAGCTTTTAATCTCACAGGCAGAGGCAGGCAGATTTCTGTGAGTTCAAGGCCAGCTTGGGCTACAAAGCAAGTTCAGGACAGTCAGGACACAGAGAAACCCTGTCTCTAAAACCCAAAATCAAACAAACGAAAAAGAAAAAAACTCCAAATTAAAATCTAGACTCCATACTTAAGGTCCTGTTCCTACATACTTATAGGCAACGTACTCCCTAAATTCCAGAAAGCACTGCTGTACTACAAGCTGAAATCCAGTAATGACTCATTCCAACATACCCACTTCTAAGGGCTGTGATAATGCAATCTGCACAGAACCGATGTAAACACTCCTTTGTAGTCATGGTGTTCTTCAACATATCCAAACAAATTGGGCACATTAATTCACTGTGTAGACTTCTAGGTGAGACCACGATTTCCAAGCCATCTGTTATTGCCTCCTGTAAAAGAGTGACTATTTAATCTCTTCTTAATTATTGATGAATAAAAACACACACAAGTATTGGAAAATCATAAAAATGAACATCTATGACCATCACCCAAGTCACCACCATGGTCAACTCACAGCCATTTTGTCTTAGCTAAAATATTCCTCCAGGCTCTTGAATCCCACCACCTCTGCACTATTTTAACCACCCTTAATACCAAAAGGGTGACAAATGAAACAATGGACCATGACTGCCCATTTAAGCATCTGGGAGGTGGAGGCAGGGTAGTCAGAAGGTTCAAGGTCATCCTCAGCTACCAATTGAGTTTGAGGCCACCCTGGAATATACAAGATTGTCTCAAAAAATTTTAAGATACTGAACTCTTTCTGTCAAGTTCCCATTTTCCTTCCTTTTCTTTTGAATGCTCCTCAGTCTCCTTTACTGGTTCTTTACCCATTACCTAATTCCTAAACAGTGAATGCCTCTGGATGAAATTACAGATTTTATTAATCTCTCTTGGTAATTTTTACATTCTCCCCCAGACTCCAGTTAGGCATTCCCGCCTGTCCGTCCGTGGGCAAACTTGAACAGTTTTAAGCATGCTTCCTTCCAAGTTGCCACTCCTACTCCTGGCACGTTTACCTTCTCCAAACGTCCCCCCACTTCTCCCATTATTTCCTTATTACTGAAAAGAAAACTTTCCCCTTATTCAATTTCTCATATATGTAATTTTATGAATATTGAGTGATTTGGTCTCCATAAATTCTGTAGGTAAAGCCACATAATGTTTTATTCACTACTATTCCCCTAGTACCTAGCAGAGGCTGATATGGAAGTATGTAACTCATTTGTTGAATGAATAAAGTGTTAGTCAACACATGATTCAGGACTACTATTATATACGCTTATTGCTGTTAAATTCTCTTTAAAAGTTTTCATTTTCTACAAAGGTATCTCAGTTTACACAAATCTATTTCCCTAAATTACAGTAGTCTGTATTACCTGAGGTGTTCGTTGTAATTCGTACAAACTGAGTTCCCATGTTTTGCTTAATGGTTGAGTTCCATTTGTCTGCACAGCCTGAGACATTGCTAGGAATAAAAAGGAAACAAAACGATTTAGTATTTGAAAAGAAGGTGTAATGGTTCTAATGTATATGTATTCCCCAAACTGGGTCCAAACTTGAAGGTTTAGAAAACAGTAATACCTCAGGACGCCTTTAATCCCAGCACTACAAGGCAGGAGGATCTCTAAGCTCAAGGCCAGTCTGTCTACAGAGCTACTTCCAGGATAGTCAGGGCTATACAAAGAAACCCTGTCTCAAAAAAAAAGGGAGGGAGGGAAAGAAAAAGGAAGGAAGGAAGGAAGGAAGGAAGGAAGGAAGGAAGGAAGGAAGGAAGGAAGGAAGGAAGGAAGGTCAGTCTGTCAGTCCTAAAATATAGGATCTTCCTACTTCAACTGACGATATTTGGGAAATAGCAAATACAGAATGCAGGCCAGGATTTTTCTCTGAAGTTACTTATCGTTATCTAGAAATGGGTACTGTCAAAAAGGAGCACAAGTGCTTTCAATTTTATTTATTTTTGGTTTTTTGTGACATGGGGTATGAAGGAAGCAAAGAAAGCCTGTAATTTACAGAACACTAAGGAGAGGACCAATGGCTTGCACTTTTAGAAGCTCTCAGAGGGACAAAGAAACTAGGAATAAAGGCTTAAAGAAAAGATGGTCTCTGGTTCGTAACTGTCATGATAAGCATGGCTCTATTCTGCCATACCCATGACAGACTGACACACTTCTACAACCATAGTATCACAGATATTTAGCCCACAGTGACACACAACAAATACAGAACGTTGGTACCAAGGAAGCAGGGTCATTGTGGTGAGAAAACCTGGTCAAAAGATTACTCAGCACCTTGGAACTTGTTTGTGGGAGAATTCTGGAAACGTTTAGAGAAGCTACTTAGGAAACGTGTACAGTAATAAGCAAAGAAAAATATAAGGAGATTTACTTCTTTGGTAGGAACTCAAAAGTTCTTAACACCAACAGGAATGCAAAGAGCAAAGGTGAAGCTTATGAAGTTTCAGACGACTAGAGACCACTCACGTTACATTCTCACTAGGATGTTGTCTACAATGTCTCTGTGTTTAAACTTACTTACTTATTGCTTTTTCGAGACAGACAGAGAGAGGGGGTGTGGTAGGTAGGTTTCGGAACTCCCTATGTACACCAGAGGAAGTTGAGCTGTCCTGGTACGATGTTGACCAGGCTGTCCTCGAACTCAGAGATCCACCCGCCTCTGCTTCCTGAGTTCAGGGATTAAAGGTGTGCCCCACCACCACCTGGTATGTCTATGCTTTATTAAAGGTGAAGTTTAACAGTGACAAGCTAATTAAGTTGGCAGGGTGATTGATGTGGGAGTCCCCTCTGTGTGCTGTGATTACCATTAATGAATAAAGAATCTGCCTTGGCCTGTTGATAGGGCAGAACTTAGGTAAGGGGGGGGGGAGGAGTGGGGGGAAGGAATGAAACTGAGTGCTGAGAGAAAGAAGGCAGAGTCAGGGCGTCACCATGGAGCCACCAGAGTCAGACATGTTGCCGGTAAGCCACTGCCATGTGGCGATACACAGATTAATAGAAACAGGTTAAATTAAGATCTAAGAGTCAGTCAATAAGAAACTAGAGCTAATGGGCCAAGCAGTGTTTTAATTAACATAGTTTCTGTGTGATTATTTCAGGGCTAAGTGGCCAGGAACAACAAGCAGCTCTCTCCTGCAACAGCAGGGAAATTTTCAGGGCACAACAGCATTCAGCATTTATTACTGCTGGCCACTTTTTAGCTGAGTTTATAATGACTGAAGCCAAAGGCAAAACAAAAAGATTTGTTAAACATGCAATCTGCCCTGAAAATGATGAGTGAACAAAAGATGTGGACAAGAAAGGGGCATGAGCCAGGCTGGCTATCACCTACAATCACAGCACACAGAAGAAAAACTGCAAATTCGGAGCCAGGGAAATGATTCAGTAGGCAGCCACTAAGCCTGACAACCTAGTTCACCCCCGGGACAAAGTGGAGAGGATGAGTTCCGTAGCTTGTCCTTTTTCACACCTGCCGCAGTGGCAATGTACATATGCAAACACACACAATAGATTTAAAACTTATTTTTTTAAAAAAAGATTATGTTGGTGATGGTGGTGCACAACTTTAATCCCAGCACTTGGGAGACAGACAAGCAGCTCTCCAAATTCAAGGCCAGAGTGGTCTACAGAATGAGTTCCAGAACATTCAGAGCTACACAGAGAAAGCTTGTTTGGAAAACACCAAAATAAATAAAAAGAAAAGAAAACAAGATTACAAACCAGGCAGTGGGGGGCACACCTTTAATCCCACCACTGGGGAGACAGAGGCAGATGGACCTCTCCAGCCTAGTCTACACATCAAGTTCCAAGTCAGTCAGAGCAACGGTGGAACTCTTTTTCCAAATAAATAAATAAAGGGTAAGGGGGAGGCAGCAGCAAATTCAAAGTCAGCCTGGTCTACACAGCAAGACCTACAGGGGCAGAAATAGGGTGTTTTGTTTGAGATTTTAACCTTACAAAGTCACAAGCATGCTACTCCGGAATAGTAGAAAAGATAACCTTAGGAGCACCTCAGGAACTGGCAGAGCCTACCTACTCAGTGCAGGCTCCAGGATGCAAAACTGTAACTTTTGAAAGGTTTTTCCTTTGGGGAGACTCTGCAGTGCCATACTCCAACAAGGAAAACAACAGAATTAATTTTGTAGCCATGTCTAAGGCAGTAGGTCTCAACCTTTGGGTAACAATTCCTTTGGGGGGTCAAAAGAACCTTTCACAGGGATCTAAGACTGTCAGAAAACACAGATATTTATATGACAATTCAAAGCAGTAGCAAAACTACAGCTATGAAGTAGTAACAAATGTAATTTTATGGTTGGAGGTGACTACAACATGAGGAACTACATTAATTAGGAAGGTTGAGAACCACTAGTCTAAGGCAACCAAAATACAAGTACAGCTGGTGACATACCTGATACCTCACAGTGCCTTTGTACCAAACTACCGGGTCATGGAGACTTCCACTAAGATTTCAAAGAAAGGCGTAGAAGGTCAAGTAATCAATGAATGGAGGAGGGTCAGAATCCATGCAGGCAGCCATCTACACAATGGGCAATGTATAAAACCCTGGGATACCGGAGTTGCCAGGAACATGGAACATCTACCAAAAAATGCTACAAGTAGCTCAAGTGAAGCCCATGCCCAAGAATTAGAGCATATGAGATGCAAATGAAAAAAAGCCTATCCTGTCCAATACCTTTGGAGCTCAAATCACAATGCTACATGTCTAGATGCTGGAAATGGGTCTATAGGATGTAATGTTACCCTACTAAAGAGTCTTGCTTTGAACCAATTCTTTCTTGATAATTTCTCATCCCTCCCTTTCGAAGTGGGCCTGTTTACCAATGCATACTAGATATTTATATTTACATCTGTGTTCTTACCACTTAAATACCGGGTAGAAAGAGCTTAAGAAAAGCATTTATCTGGCCCAAAGTCCATCATGTCAGGGAAGGAATTGCAGAGCAAATTGCAAGCAAAAAGCTGCTTGTTACACTCAGCTCATCAAGAAGTAGATTTGGTGCTGAGAGTACAGCTGGGGTATAACTAGGCCTACACACAGGTATACAACCAACATGAAACAAGTACACAACAGCTTAAGTTACTCCTTAACTTGGTATATAGAACCAAAAATGTATATATTAATTGGCATTAACCATATCATATATTGATACGTCTATAACACACTTAAAATACAAGCTGTAATGACACTATTCATGCAAATTAAAAAGTCCAACCACGTAAAAATCACCCCCACTTTAAAAAAAGGCAGCATTTCTCAAATCACTTAAGTTAATACCAGCCTTTCCCTTGGAATGTCAAGAAATCAGACTACTCGAAATTAGACTACTGCAAAGTAGGCTGAATACAAAATAAAGTACATTATACGTGGGGGGTGGGAAATGACTCTTTCTTCTACTGTAACTTGAAAAACTACCCACTGATAAAAACACCTCCTATCCCTGTGTAACTTCATTGAAATGCAGTACATGAATAAACAGGAACAATAAACCAAGGAATTAGGTAACAGTGCAACCAATTTGAAACAGGCTGTGTGGGTGACAGCGACTGAAATTACTGCTGTAATCAAAACAACACATATCAGTATTACCTTAACCACTCCAGAAGCTGTGTAAAAACATCCCTAAGTTATTTTTACACAGCCAGGGATTTCTGAGAAAAAAAAAATCTATCCTTAACAAAAAAGCTCTCTAGAGATGAGACTCCAGACTACACACATTTGAGTGATTATAATTCCTAAATCTTGTCTAATTGTCTTGCCTGGAAACATCTATTACATTCTAAAAATTAAGAATCCATTCTGCTTCCATTGAGAATCTATCTGTTTATGTTAGAGATCAAAGCCATTCGCCCTTTTCTAGGGAAGGAATTGGACTTGTTCTTTGTTTACCAAATTATCAGTTCTCACTGCACTGCTTTGAGGGAAGACTTGAGACAAAAGGGAGCTGAGCACTGCTGTAATGATGAACCTGCCACCACTCTACATGAATACAATATGAAAAGTTTGTCATATCTATACACAGAAGACAGTTCCTACTATCCTTTAGTTCAGGCATTAAGAGCAGTAACAGATTTTTGAAAACACTTGAGTTTTCTGAACAAATTTACATCTAATAGCTGAGTACAGACATATAATCCAAGCTACCAAGAAGCCTGAGAGGCAGGAGAATTTTGAATGCAAAGCCTCACTAGGGTACTGAATTAAGCTCAAAGCAGTCTGAACAAATTCCTCAAAATAGGAGGAGGAGAAGGGAGAAGAGGAAAGGGAGGAATTTCCATGGTAGAGCACTAACCCAAGAGACATAGACAGGGCTCTGAGTTGGGTCCTAAACGGGGGGTGGGAAATAAACACACATTAGGTTCAACAATACATTAGAAATGAGAATTTTCATTCCATGTTTTTCCTTAGAACAGCAGTTCTCAACCAGTTGAT